TAAATAACATAGGAATGCGAAAGCTTTCTGAACTCCCTTGATTAATGTAAATATCAGGGGGAGGTGTAGACCTTAGGGGGAGTCTTACACCTACACAATATTATGTTACACTCTTTTCCTTAACCAAAGATTTATTTTTCCCACTGAGTTTCTGTTACTTGGTAAGGTTTTTAATAAGGTAACGATACACATTGATCAAAGTACGGATCAAATAAAAGACTCAATGAACGAAGTCTAACATGGTTCTCACTTCTCATAATGATTTCCTTCTGTCAAGGTTATTTTTTCCCACAGAGTTTTTGTTACTTGACGAAGTCTCTACATGACAAGTTGATGAACATCATTCTATCGACAACTCGGCACAAGGGGGAGTGTTGAAGGAAATTACATTTAATGTGCATTCGTTATAGATAGAAAGTATATCTAAGGCTTTTGTGTGTATTCAACTACATGACCCATTGGCCCATCTCTTGTAAACCCTAATTTCTCCTATTTAAAGGAGGCTTGCTAATGGGATAACACACACCTCTCACTTCCCTACAACATTTACCTAATAATTGTGGATGGAACCAATTATTTTGTAATTCTAAAAGTAGCCAAAAATTATATGAAGGCACTAAATAAGTAGTAAATAACTTAACTTTTAGATATGTTAAGTTTTTAGTATATAAATATGAATCTTTTTCAATGGCTTGTGTGCATGTTTGGTAGGTATAAATCTCTACCTTCCATGATATAAATCAATATATATGGCTAAACTAAACTTCACTTCTTTTAGTGCCGGGAGTATTCCAACCAAGTTATCTAAATAAAATCTTATAAACACCAATGAAAGTTAATATATTTTTGGTATATTAAATGTGTTGGTGTAACACAAAGCAACGTGCTATTGTACAATATGGTCTGATCATTGTACTCTAGACTTTAATTTTACTCATGCTCATCCGTTACCTTCGTTATAATCCGCGTACCGAATCGTCATTTGAACGTTGATGCGGAGTATAAAAAATAAGGATGATAGATTTTCCTGACGATTGGGCAGGTTGTTTCCACATGTCATGCGCTCTAAGGAAGTTGTTATCTGCCAAATTCAAATTTAAAACAAAAATTCTTGGTGTACACGTTCTTATACCTGACTGACTAGGATTTTTTAATCAGGTTTGGAGGAGGAAAAGAAGAAAAGGGTGCAAACTTATGGATTGTTGGGAAAGCTCGTAACGAACTCATTTGGAATGGAAAACGATTGGGATCGTCAAAGCTGCATTTCATGGCCTTAAACTTTTTGAATGAGTGTAATCTACTATAACAGAACACTCCATCTAATGCAATCTACCTCTACAATAGTCGAATCATTTGCCTAGTGATGGGGTGATCTAAAAGTTTGATGTTACGCGTTTTCCCAATTCAGGGAAGGCCTACGAGGTTAAAGTGTCATATAACTTTTATTTGTGATTGGACAAAAAATACCCGCATAGGATTGGAGGGCATAACGCGGAGATTATCGAGGAACAATATGGATACAATTAGTTGAGGCCTTGAGGGCGTATTTGTCCATATAAACTATTTATTTATTTGTTGGTATTCTTTATATATTACGGAGTATCAAATAAGTGTTATTTTTTCTTTATTATTCATCTCTTACTCACATTATCATATGTAATCCAGCCATCATGAAATTCATGGGTGAATATAGTCGATCACAGGAATTTAATGACACGATTAAGTCCTTATATAATGGATTAAGGATGAAAAAAATGTAACATACACAAACATTTACAGTAGAAAAATGTAACAAATAACAAAAAATATGCATCAAAAAGTTTGATGCGCAAAAAAAAAAATTGATGAACATCATATCAAATAATGGGGAATTTTAGATTGCAATAGAAAATCGTAGTTTATAACATTGTATATAGAAGAGTTAATTAAATCAGTTAAGTACAGTAGTGACATATAATGACTTATTCGCATTATCATTTTTCAAAGGTTCAAAAATGTTTTATGTTGGTCATTGGACATGATTGTCTTCCGAATTTTGCTTAGTTTATGTTGTTGTTTGGTTTTTAAATTACTTGTCATTATCAGGTTTGGTTGTTATGGTGAAATGCTTTGTAGGTTTAAAGATTGTTGATCACTTACTAATACGAAGTAAATGTTTACTAGTTTTCAAAACATCACTTAAGTTTTAGACAAATACCTTACTCAAAAAAAGTTTACTACAGAGTCTGTTTGATAACATTAAAATCCATTATAAAGTTCTAAATAAAGTGGCTGGATTGACTGGTTCTACTTGTTTGTGAAAACAATATTTAATTTTTTTTTATAATAAAGTGGAGAAAAAATTACTCCGTATATGATTATAGCTAAAACGGTTCTCTAAAGTAATTTCGGCTAATTCAAACAGAAAAGTAACTTCAACCTTACTTATTTGATTATTGAAAAATTCAACGTGTGAAATGCGAAGTTACATGTTTAGCAAAAGAGTTGGTTGATAAAACTGATAATACAAAAACTAATTACCAAATGGGCTCTTAGTAAAAAAAAAAACTTAGAGCCCGTTTGGTAGCACGAAAATCGGCTGTTTTGGCTGATTCTGCTGAAATTTATGAAATTCTGGCTGAAGTGGCTGCATTGGCTGATTCTGCTGATTTAATAAAAAATTATTTTTAAAATATATTTTATTAATAAAATAATGAAAAAATAATATGTAAAATAGTTAAAATGGTTATCTACAGTAACTTTAGCCAATACAGTCAGAAAAGTAACTTCAACCTTACTTTTTCTGCTTATTAAACAATTCAGCGCGCGAAAGCAAAAGTTACGTGTTTGGTGAAAAAGTTGGTTGATAAGTCTGATAAGCTAAAAAACAGTGTTGCCAAACGGCCTCTTAATCTTTCACTTTCATCTTTTTTGACGCATTCTTTCTTTCAATCTCACTGAAAAGAAGTTTTTGATATTGAGTTTCTTCTCATCCTTTCTAATGTACTGAGTATTTAAAAAACGGAGTTTCTTCTCGACTAACAAAGACATATTAGAGCATCCTCAATGCTATACTGTTAACATCCTACAATTTTTGACACATGTCCATTTCTAAATAGAATAGTCATCCACCTCATATGTAGGGGTGGGATCGGGTCGGGTTTGGTCGGGTTTTGGTTCGGATCGTAAAAACCCGAAAAACATCGGGTTCTACATTTTTTGGCCCGACCGGAGGACCAATACTTTCGGGTTGGTCCGGGTTTTAAGAGCCTCAGGTTCGGGTTGGGTTCGGGTCGAGTCGGGTTGAACCCAGAAAAAATCAAACTGAAATATCTAAAAACAATTGAAATACAATCACAACAAAAATTGAAAATATCTAAACTCTTAATTAAAAAAAATATGTAGTATATTAAAACCAAAGCAATATATTTTGAATCTAAAAATCACACAATAGAAAATGTTGTAGAAGAACAATTGGTTCGAAAGCAAAGTAATATTTCCCTCCGTTCCAAATTGATTTACAAAGTAAAGATTTTTTGGTCAACCAATGTCAAAGTTAAATCCTCCATATTGATACTTAATAATATTTTTTAAAGAACTTAATTCAATTTTTAATAATTAAAATTTACATATTAAAAAACTACATTCAAATTTCTTCAAAGATGCAAACTCCATAAATATAATTAAAAATTGACTAAAAAGGTCAATTTCGCAAATCAATTTAGAAAAGATGTAGTATAAAATAGTCCATACGTATTATATATATAATCGGTACGATGTATTAATAGGTCATACATATTTTATATAAATTAAATATTTTTTAGTTTCTTAATTAAATCGGGTTTTTTCGGTCCGGGTCGGGCTTAAAATTTTAGAACCCGAATTACGACCCAAGTTTTCGGGTTCGGGTTGAGTATTTTAACCTGGACCGGTCATTTTTAAAATAAAACCCGGATCAATGTTATATATCGGGTTGGGTCGGTTCGGTTATCGGGTTTTGGGTCTGTTTTTCCCACCCCTACTCATATGGAAGTGATGTAGGTGGACATTCAAACTCCAAAATCATGTCCAATGCATGATGTCAATAGCCCATGTAACCGTATAATCCATATATCTTTCGAATTAATATTAATAATATTACTCCTCAACTCTAAAAGGCATAAAAATACACCGACTACTTTATCAATTATTTGAGAGATCAAAAGGAACAACTCTCTACATGATGAATGTGTGAAATGATATCTGGGTATTCGATTATATAGATAGAGGTCATGATACTATATAGATATAACCATGTATTCGATTATACTGGTATTTGTTATTTTTAAGGTCTAATAATTATTTATTTCCTACAGAAGCTTTAATCCAGGGGAAGGTCAAAGGTGAGGTGGGAGAGATAATTTTTCGAGTGGTTGCTACTTGGCTCTTGCAAATATGTGCCGAGAACGAATGTTTTGACGTGCAGGAATATTTATCCGCGGCAGTTCCAGGGTAATTTCTACAATTTCTGCTTCGCATATGCCGAGTCACCATGTGAAGGGTGCTGTCAACGAAGGACAGCGATGTATACAATGTCTAATTAATTTTTTAACACATCAGCATTACATGCCGGTAAATGTACTCCGCTGGAAACCAAAACTTTATGACACTGTTAATTCGTATGACGTAGCAAATTTTTTAATGTCAACAAAGAGCCATTGAAGATGCTCTTATAATGTGCATATGTGACTATACAATACGGAAATTAAGTTACATCAATAAAAAAAGGCATCTCTAATTATAATCAGGACCACTTCAAGAAAATTTTTAAGAATTTCGGAGTTTAACGACGGAACAGGAATCTCCTTTACATGTTTTCATTGGTGAAAGAGTTGAGGAGATTTCGAATCGAATTATTGAGGTGCAATGACACAAGATAAAGAGAAAATGTCATAAGGTAATCCACAAACTAACTCAACGGGGAATAAAGAGATAACACTCATGAACCATGAATGTAATCTCTATTCTGTTGAATAACAAATCCCTCTTCCCTAAAACACATAAAAGTGAGGTATCATAGGTGATGAAAGTGACAAACCATTTCCCATTTTCTAATTACAAACAAAAAACCAAGCATCTCATTTGGCTCATGTAGTATCAAACATAACTATTTAGACAAAAAAAAAAAGTACAGTATATATATATATATCTTTAATGGGCTGATATGCACATTTTCCATCCTTTTTTGCACACTTTTAATGGGCTAATAACCACATTTTGACAAAAATTAATAAATGCATTCTCAAACAAAAAAGCCCGATACTATATAAGTATATATATTCGACATCCCCCTTTTGCCCTCAGCAGTTCTTTCAATTCCTTGTTTTGCCCTGCCACTCGGTGCACTGATTTGTCGGCCGTGATTTCTCTTTTCCGGCTTTCGACGGGCAAGTCATCTGTATCGGCGGCACCATACAGTTGTACTGCAAACACAGAGATGCCGTCACCGGAATATCCGCCGCCGGGTTTATCTCCATTCCGGTCAGGAAGTTATGCTGCAAATAGAGAAGCTGAATTCCGGCTGAAAGAAGCCGGTCCACGAATATACCGGGCACCTCACCGGTGAACCGGTTATTGTTGAGGTACAAATTCTGTACGGTAGAAAACAGGGGAGACAGTTTACCGTACAGATGGTTGTAGCTGAGATCAACGGTGGGGATTCTCACCTGACCAACGGGTAAGACCTTCCCGGAAAATTTATTTCTCTGGAGTTGGAGATTGGTGATCGGGAAGCTGAAAATGATGCCCGGAATGTCCCCGGTAAACTGGTTCAGACTAAGGTCGAGATAGTTCAGCTTGGTCAAACTGGTCAAAACCCGGTCAACCGGTCCACTAAGCCGGTTCCACGACAGGGAAAGAAACTGAACCGACGGAGGGAAAGAGTTTGGCTGGAGTGGACCGGAAAGGGCGTTATGCTTGAGGTCGACCCGGGTTAAGCTCCGGGATACAAAAACAGGGACCGGTCCGGAAAGACGGTTGTGATTGAGAATAACATTGGACAACGCCGGCAAAGCTCCGATACCCGAAGGAATACTTCCGGTGAACTGGTTGAAGCTGAGATCGAGCGTGTGCAGTCTCCTGAGCTGACCCAGAGACGCCGGAATCACCCCGGAGATAAAATTCCTGCTGACACCGAGAAACCTGAGATTGCTCAGCCGCGAGAGACTTTCCGGCAATGCCCCGTATATCCTACCGGGAACCACCGTAAACTCAGCAAGAGCAGATAACTTTCCAATCGCCGGGTGAAGATGACCCGTCAAACCCGGAGACCCGGCCCTCGGGTCACCAAGATTCAACGCAGCCACCTTCCGGCCGTCGCAATAAACTCCGGGGAAGTTGCAGGGGTCGGAAGTGAAATCCCAGGAAGCAAAGTAATGGGAGCCGGGCAGATCAGCCAAGCTCGTCCGAATCGATTGCAGAGCCAAGAAATCGGTCGGGTCCAGAATCCCATTCGCGAAGAAACACGAATGAAGAAGAACGATCAGAAAAGGCACAAACTTCATCTTCTTCATCATCATCATCATTCCACTATAAGCTATGGACATGAGAGACTGTATATATAGCGTGGAATGCGGAGTTGTAGGAACGCTTTTTTCCGTGAGAAGCAGGGGATTCTCGTGCACTGTGGCGAACAGCTGGCTGGGAGAAGCTTTAATGCAGAGTTGCAGACTCAGCACATAAAGATTTTCAGAGGGAGGAGGGGGTGGTTCTGGTTAAGGGCACCAAATAAACAACAAAACATAAAAAACAAAACAGAGATATTATAGGTTGGAAGAAAGAGTAGCTTAAGAGGAAAGCAAACTTATACTCAATAAAATAAAATACTACGTAAACTTATAAAAGGGAAGCACTTTTTGGTGTTTCTTGTGGCTTCCGTTAGAAGATTGGAGGAAATTAGGTGATCTCCACTTGTCTTGCAAGTGGAATAAAAATGTTTTTATTTGGACTAGTTTGATTAAGTATATTTAAGTTTAGTATGAACTGGTCTGGTCTGAACCGATTTGATCTGATAAATGTTTGCTTTCGAGTTTCGATGTATTTTGTAATTCTGGAAGTCTGGTATGATCTGATCCGATCTTGTCTGATTTGTTAAATTCTTTTCTGATCTGATTTGTTTAAGCCTGGTCTGATTTTGGTCTGGGACTGGAAACTGTTTAACTAATAAATCCTAATATTCGCTCATTTATTGAATTAGTAATCCGTAGTTTATATGGACCTGACGTCTCTGTCTTGCTTTAATAGAAACGAGCGTGTCTCATCTTCTTGAAACCTCAGGTCAAAAAGTCAATGACCTGAGGTCCAAGTTTTTAATGTATGTTCTCCATTTGAGTAAGACAATCAGCAAATGATCTTAATCCAGTTTATATGGATCAAAATAGTGTAAGGAATTAGGGCAAAGAGTTTCTAATAACTTTAGTGTAAATGAGCCTCCCAAACCTGTTATTTTAAAATCCCAAGTAGTTAATTATGTGGCACACTCTTAAAATCCAATAGTCCAAGTAGTTATTTATGTGGTGTTCTAGCGGGTAAAGTAAAACAAAAACATTGCAAAGTCAAATGTTAAATTAAATGGGTATAGCCTAATAAAGAGATAACAATAAAAGATGTTGTACGTGGTCTCCGTCTCGGGGCAGCTGCATTGTAAAGAAAAAGCTTCAAGTTCTCTTACCAGTTGACTACTCCTTTTGTTGCAAAGACCGGTCTTTTTTGGTAAAGAAATTGTAGCCATATCAAAGGTGCTGATTAATTGTGAGAAAATGAAATTTTGTAAAACATAATTGAAAAACTATTGGCAAACTAAATTTTCTATTTCACATTTTTTAAGCAACTATATTAAAAACGACGAATCGTACCACTCTTAGATCTCTGAAAAACAAAGAAGAGAATACATATACAAAAAAACAAAAATAGAGACCTTTAGTATGGCGGAAAAGGCCAAATTTCTCATTTTAAGGGTCTAATAATATCTCAAGATTCTCAACTAGACTGAGTAATTGGAAGATAAATTCCGTGACTATAAATAATTCTTTAGGTACAAAGACTTACCTTAGACTTGTAATTCGAGAGAAAGCCTAGAAATAATGAAAAACTTTCGAAATAAAGAATATGTGACAACTAAAAAAGGAACGGAAAATAATTTTTATTACTCCCTCCGTCCAGGATAGAACTTGACGTTTGTTTTTGGCACGGTATTTTAGGAGCTCAATTATTAGTAGAACAAATGTCTTCAATGCCCTTTGACTTTGGGAATTAATGTTATCCACTCAAATGTAAAATACCCGTGGTTAACTTCTGTCTGTACTACTACTAATATTATTACATTGTTCTTTTTTTGTTCTAGTTATAATCAAATATTTCTTGAGCAGTTTTGTTGAATATTGATAATGCTATAAAAAAAAGGATGAAGAGTTTTCTGTTTGAATATATCTATAGACTGATAGACAACACATATCATAAACTATTTGTCATTTCAAAGTAGTTACATGGTTCGGTTTAGAATAATCTGCTTTGGTTTGACCTTATCCATCTCATTTCAAAGTCTATTTCACTCTAGTTTGGTATGGTCTATTCTTTATATATGCACGGATCCTCTCTAGTTAGTTCAATGTGTCCTACTTTGCTTTGGTTCACTACAATTTGGACTGATTTATTTAGGATGGTTTATATTGGACTCCATTTTTTGGTTTGATCGGATTTATTTAATGTTGGAAAAATGTGTTAAAACTACATTAAATGATCAATTTCAGACAATATTTTGAGTGCGGTCCATTTCCGATTTGGGTCGGGTCAAAGTGGTATTGAATTCCCCTTGTTAAGAGCTTCAATTCGATATATGGTACACTCAAAACAGATGACGGATGAATGAGAAATCGATTCCCGAATTTTACTCATTCAAATGGGAAAAACTCGGAAAATGATGAGTTTCTAGTGTGAATTATCCCACACCGGAAAACCCAAGGGATTTTCGCCCCCTTATAAGTTATAAAGGTGACCCTCTTTGAAAAAATTAAGATTCCTAGGTGGAAAAACTTTCAGGTCCATTAAAGCTCACTAAACACACCACAAATCTATCCATATATATTGTTGGTAGGTGGTTCTCAACAACACGAATTATACACAGTATACACGTAGTTTTCAGCTAAACCCCACCTTCAACTTTCTGGATAATGTCCGTTGTTCTTGCTTTGTTTTTCTTTGCTAGAACAACCGATTGTGTGCTCATACGGATGCTTGTAGCCACCATATCTTGGGAAACTATCGTTGCAACGCTCCTAGCACCGTGGAATGCAACAAATACGTTTTAAGAAAATTGCGTTAATGTGCATTACACAAGCTTTGACGTTTTGTGCTACTTTTTTTTATTTAATTAATTCTTTATTTTCTGATTAAACACAGCAATTCACCCAACATTTAAGTCTTGTCAGATTTGCGTTGTTTTGGTAGATGTCTGATTCGTATGTATATAATAATTGTCGAAATCTAATCTACTCTCGTACAATCTATTTAAGTATGGTTTCGTCTGGTTTGTTGTTGAAATCAATCCAATTAAAATATCCTTCATATATAGCCTAGTTCACAATCGTGGTATGGTATAGTTTGTTGCTGAAATCAATCCAATTAAAATGTCCTTTATTGGATTGGTTTCAATCTTAGATCAAGTCAAGTCAGACTTAAACAAACCATATACAATACTCGATAAGAATTTGATAATTGTGAAATATTAATAGAATTAATAGATCAGTTCATACCAATCAGATTAGAAAATTATACTGTCGTATATTGCTAAGTGAATTTGTTATCGCATAATATATGTGTCTGGGTATTCATCAATATCTGTACGTGTAACTCTATAAGGAGGAGTATTAGGATGTTTTCTTTTGGACTGAAATTTGGTGGTCTAGTCTGTTTAAGTCTGGTTTGGTCTGGTCTGAACTGGTCTGGTCTGGTCTGGTAAACGTCCCGTCTCTGTGTATTTTATAACTACGGAAGTCTGGTCTGGTCTGATCTGTTTAAGTATGGTCTGGTCTGGTCTGGTCTGATTTGTTTAAGTCTGGTCTGATCTGGCCTGGGACTGAAGCAGTCGAGAAGAAAACATCCTTATTTGTATAGCTATTAAAATTAAAATACAACAAAATATTATCTTTAAATTCATTCTTTTTTTTTTGAATAAAACAAACTTATCTTATTACTCAAACTAAGTCATTAGACAAATGGCTTACAAGGAGAATTAAAAAATTCCCGACAATCTAACAAAGAAACGACAACTAATGCTTTTATCTTTAAATTCATTCTATATTTTATTATTATAATTATATAAATGAATATTTCATTTTCTTGCCAAGTGATGCTTTTAAGAAATAAATATGTGACACTGTTCTTCAAACAATTACAATATTGAAATATACATTAAAACGACATTGGATTTGGACAATATAAGAATAAGGTCATACTACATATACTGCTATCACGTGAAAACTTTAGACTAAAATTAAATAAAGTTTAAATTAAATGCATACCAGATTAGTGTATTTAAGTTTTACATTTTAAGTAACATAAAAAAGTTTTAAATTTTAAGCACATGAAGCTTCATTGCGACCAGTGGAATTTTCCATTGCATTTTATGGGACAAACATTTACTCCGTTCATTTTTAATTGTAACATTTTCAATTTCGTTAATGTAAAAATTTGACATTCATTATATTTAATTTTCATTAATATAAAACATTAAAATCATATTATACAAGATTGTAATAAAACAAATTCAATAATATTAAAAAATCTCATATAATAAATAGATAACATGTAAGCAAAACATAATACTCCCTCCGTCTAGTTAGAATGTTCCCGGTTTGACCTACACACATATTAAGGAAATAAACTTACCAGGGGTTAAATTTTACTGTTTGGACACTGTTTGGACACTGTTTGACACTGTTTGACACTGTTTTGCACTGTTTGACATTGTTTTGATGTATGATAACTTTCTATTTATTAGGGAAATGAGAACTTTCCATTGAGACGTCCAAAAAAGGAAAATGGGAACATTCCGACGGGACGGAGGTAGTAGAATACTACCATGTTCCACTAACATTGGGACATGAGGAGGTGATATGACGATTAAGAAAATTGGAGTTATGTGATTAATATTCAATTGATGTCGTAAGAATGAAGTAAAAACGATTTAAAACTACACAAATTTTACCAAATATGATGCTCCCTCTGTTCCACTAAAATTATCTGATTTTACTTTAATTGTCCTATATCAAATTTGATAAAGTTTGTGCGATTGCAAATCATTCTTACTTTCTTCTATTTTATCAATTCAATATCAACCACATAAATCACTTCTTATTGATTTGCGTGTCACTCCATCTTGTCTCATTGCTAGTAGGACGAAGGGAGTATGGAACAATTTTAGTGGAAAAAAATGAAACAATTTTAACAGGATAGAATGAGTAGCAATGTTATAGAATTAGTGGAAAATAGTTTAAAACTTTCAATGTTATAGCAAAAAAAGAAACCCAAATATACTATATTCCGGAAACCAAATGAGTAGCGTAGCCCCTGGGGGAAACCCATGATAGCGGGCAATGATCCATGCAGTGTTGGAGTGGTGAGGAAGTCAGAGTGGGTGAAATAAAGAGGCTTGGGGACCAAGCTAGTCTCCAGTCATTGGTTAGAATTGACGGGCCGCGTGCAAATTAATTAATCCATACCGGAAATTTTGTTTTTTGTGTTCCGAAAAAGTATGTGCAAATTGAATGACATGTCATTTTGTCATTTTCAATGTATTTT